TTCCATGACTATTATTTTCTTTTAAAACAAAAACCACCACCAACAAAAACTTTTGCGCTTTGACTCCTTCTTCCGGACTAAGGCGGGGGGGGGGGGCGGGTGTCAAGCGAGCCGGGGGACCGGGAGAGACGAGCACCCCCCACGACTCCCAGGCCCGTCGCCCGCGCTCCCTGGGGCTCAAACCCCACAACGCGCGCTGTGAGCTGCAGGAGATGCACAGGAGCGCGGCGGCGGAAAGCGAGGTCCTCAGGCCGCGCAGCTCCGCAAGGCCGGCGAGGGCTGTGGCGGCCAGTAGACGGCGATCGCGGCCCGCTAGGCAGCATCAGGGCAGGCGCGCTCGGGGCCTGGGCCGAGGCTCCGCAATCAGGCAGACTCACGCCGCGCCTCCCGCTACTTGGTGCAGTTGAGCTTGGGCGGGGGCTCTGGGCGTGGGGCGAGGGTGAGAAGGGGGACCCAGCCTCCGCCCCGCAGCTTCCCCCTCCAGCCGGTACCCCGGCGGGAGCCGAGGTCCCTTCCCACGCTGGCGTTTCCTCGGCTTCTTCCTGTTCTGCGCCTCCTTTAGGAGGTCCTCTTGTTGGCCGAGGTGACCTCGAAAGCCTCTTCCTATTGAACCGTCTTCACTTCTTTTTCTCTGCCCTACGCTTTCGTTGCCGCCTTCTCCTCTTCTTCGTTCAGATCACTCTTTTCTCTCCCAAAGTCCTGCCTAGGAATTGGCGGCTCCCTAATAATTTGGCTCCCTAGAACTCTGGTTTCAGCCCTTTGGGGCGACACCAGAGCCTGCAAGGCTGTGCCCTGGGCTGTCCACGGAGGCGTCTACACGTGTCCTGAGTACTTCGGGTCTTCAGAAGCCCCTGGAACTGAACTGTGCGAGGGCAGCGGGCACAGGTGGACACCTCTCCCGGGAGAGTGTCACCAGGACTGGCGGTCTGTGCCAAGGCGGAAGAAGACAGGAAGAGTTTTGAGTTTTCGTTTTCCTACCCTGACCTTTGTCTCCCCAGAGTTCCCAACCTGTCCACCTCTTTGCTTGCCGGGAGTTTGAGGCTGATACTGGTATTGAAACTCGCTTCTAGGTGCCTGAAAGGTAGCTTCCAGTTAAAGACAGCTAGTGGGGAGGGAGAGGGCTCTGTCCAGTGACCTATTTCCCAGGTTTCTCCTGAACCCAGCAGGGGTGCGGGAAGCAAAACCCACAAGTTTTAGTTCCTCTATATAGGAAGTTTAAGCTAATGGTATTTTATTTGAAGTCCAATACTCAATGTATTTGAAAGTCAAGAGCTCGTGTATTTCCTAAATACATTGCATACATATGTACACATATGTATTGTGTGTACACATGCATGTGTATCTATACACACATCTTGTGTATATAGTTGTGTGTGTATTCTGTATATACACAGGTGTGTATAGGTATGCATATATTCTGTATTCTATGGGTACATGTGTACATATGTATGAAAATATTGTGTATACACATGTGTGTATACATGCACGTGTGTGTACTTACTCTCTTCTAATGATGGCTTGGATCTGAATTTTCTTTAAGGATCATGCCCACAAGTGAAATAAAAGAAGAGAAAGCATCTTTACTTACCTACATGTCTAAAGTGGATCTTCCCTTTGGCATTTTGAGTATAGAGGCACAATGAAGTTTCTGAGTTGGCAAGAGAGCAAATTTTGTCAATCAACAGTGAAGCAATCTTTCCCTAGGGGTCTAGGCTCTGGCATTTCTTGGAACTAGTGTACTCTGTCTTCAAATCCTCCAGTGCTTGGCCTTTGAGAATGTCCTCAGTTTGAAGGAGGCCCCTGCCAGCCTGGTGGGGGGTGGAAGGGAGAAAGAGAAGAGGGAGAAGAGGTGTTTTTCAAACTAGCTTTGGACTGTTCTTTATTTTTAAAGAGTAACTGGGGAGAGGGGTCAGAAGAAGCAAAAAAAAAAATGAGGCTCCCAAAAGCCATTAGCGGCAGGAGTTGATATGACACGCTTCAATCTCTGTGCCAGGCTGGAAGGCACCAAGAGGTCTGGCACGCAGTGCCCTGCCATTGCCTAATTGGCACAGGCGGCAGCTGCCAATCATCTACCCCTTGGCAACAAGTTACACCTGCAGCTCCGTGTTAATGCTTAGGCACGTGGGCACCCATCGTGTGTGCCTGCTTGGGCCCAGGGAGCATCTCCTTACTGAAAGGGACTTACAGAGAGTGCCCCAAACGCTAAGCACTCGTGTGATCTCATAAAAAGCTAAACCATTTACTTCCTACTTAGGTGCTCTAGAAAACAAGGGTAATGTAGTCGAATTTGGAAACAATTTTCAGGACTATGTAGAAAGAAACTAAAACATTTCAAAGTCAGCTATCCAAGTTCCCCAAAACATAAAGCATTCCTGCAATGCACACTGGAGTGCAGGGTGTTTATAAAATAAATTGCTCCATTGATATGGAAAATAATGTGTCAACCTTGGTTCATACAAAGTATTTTCAGGGGGTCTTGGGCTATTTGGTTTGAAATCTAAATTGAAAAGCAGAGGGAAGAAATTTTTCAGTTGCTAAGTAGATAATATAGTTTATAATTTGTAAACCATTTCCTTTATTTCAGTCTTGCTGACTTTCCATGACACACTGCATCTCACTGCACACCCATCGCCTCCTAAATAATCAAAGGAAAAATGGATCTATAGCATTCTTAAACTATATTCTTGTTCTTTGTGTTGTTGTTGTTGTTCATTCACAATGTAACTGATATTTGGAGGTAGTACAAGAACAAATCAAAAGATTTAACAAACTCGATTGCTGAAATAAGAAGGTAGTTTGAAAACCAAGTTTATAGCCTAGATATTTAGTGAAAAATAAATATAAAATGACATTTCTTTTCTAATATAATTATATATTATTCAATGAGTTCACTATTAAATGCTGAATAGCCCAAAATGAAAGCAGCTTAATCTCTGCAGAGACCAATTTGCTGTTGCATTGCATACTGTAGCAACCTTGCAATAAAAAAGCTACTGTAATAATCATAGTAGTTGGCAGGAGAGAAAGCACTATCCCTGTACCTTGGGCAAGCAGTAGGGTCAGGAAATCCACCACCTCAGAATTTCTTTTAAATAATGGAGGGGGTAAGAAGAGGCGTCACGTGTTCGCTGACCAACATAGTTAAACATCCTTATTAGGACCCTTACAGTCGTTATCATATGTTCATTTCTGTTACAAGAAGGTCAGCCATCGCCTTTGGCTAGGCTCCACTTCACCCAGCAGCCATCTCCTGAGCGCTTTCCTCTCCGGAGCTCGGGGAAGTTGCCCCGTTGCTCCGTCAGGACGCAGGAGGCGTGCGTGGTGGTCTCCATGGATTTTCTGCCAGAAGTCTTCGGGCCACTTTCGTATCATTCGGATGGGAACCGAATGGGCAATGGTGTTATCGAAGACACTTGAAGGTTTATGAATTATAACCGCAGGGGGACGCCTCAGTCACTCCAGGAACCAGGCCTTCCGTTTGCAAAACGCAGGGAAAGAGCATCTGCCCTTGGTCCCCAGGCCCCACTTTGCCCACTCGCTTTCAGGGGGGCCTCACTCGATTCACGCAGTTTTCCAAGTTCTTAGGCAAACAGCTTGTGGAAGATGTTCTACAGAAGAGCGCGGGCTGCCTCTGTCTTGTGCGACTTTAAACTTTTTAAACTGGTGTGAAGTGACTGGAGTCCAGATAGATTTTGTTTTCAACCTTCCTAGAAATTCCTTTTTAGGAGGAAGCCAAATTGAGAAGAGTCTGTAACTGTAATAGCCAGATTCTTTAAAGACGCCCCTCAAATAAAAAAAAAAGTTCAGGGCTGATGCTAAAAAATGCTATGGGGCCAAGCTCGACACAAATGCTCCCCCGTTATGGGAATTACTGGGGCCTGGACTGTGAAGGCCTTCCCTACGAGAGGGGGCACTGGAGAACTTCAGTACACGCGGTGGTGAAACACGCATCCATGGGAGGGCGAGGGCAAGTAACCGCGTTTCCCACGCCTCGCAAGATCTCCCGTGTGTGTGTGTGTGGTGGGGGGAGTGCTTCCGAGTTGTGTACCTTGGACGGTCTTTCCAGCTCCCAAGGTCGCGCCCCTCCTTTCCAGCCCAGGGGCCGAGCAGAGGGCGGGGCTCCTGCCGCTGTCCTGCCTCAGTCCGCAACTTTCCCTTTCCGGGCTGGGGCAGAGTTGTCGGGAAGGGGTGGGCAGAGGAGGAGCTGAGTCAAGGATGCGCTCAGTTAAAAGTGGCTGGGGGTTGTAATCCTCACCCCCACCCCCTCCCTGAATGACTCTATCTTCGTCTTGCTTTTAAATCCAATCGTTTACCGTGCGGAGCGCGCGGGCGGGGAGGAGCGAGGGTAAGCTCAGAGTTCGCCGCCACCGCGCGCGCTCAGGAAGCAGCTTGGCTGTGACCCCCCTCCCTGGCCTCCTTTCCCCCCCTCCTTCCTGCCCCTGTTCCCCCTCCTTTCTCCCCTCCTCCCCATTCCGCCGCCCGCGCCCAGAGTATCTACTCCCTCCCCACGTCACTCGCCAGCGCGCCATGCAAATCACCGCCGCCGCCAGCTCCCATTGGCCGCGGCACGCTCATTTAATGGCAGCCCGGGCCGGCGTATGGCTGCTGGGCCCCGCGCGCCGCCGGCCCCGTGTGCGCCTCCGTTTGCAGCGCACCGCCCCGGGCAGGCAGCGGGCATCTCCGGCTTGGGGGCCCCAGTTTTCCGGCCCTCTTTGCGCGCCTGCGCTCCCTCGGAGGCCTCCGGCCCCCTCCCCAGCTGCCCCGTAATCCCCCCGGTCCCCCTCTCCTCCCCCCTCGTCGCCTTGCTCCCCCCTAGGCACCTGGGACCCGCACATGCCCAGCGCACGCGGTGCGCCACCCTGCTAGAAGTTGCAGCCCCGGAGTTGGAGGCCTCTGAGGACCAAGTGGAGGAGAAAGGAGGCAGCGCGCGGCGGCGGCGGCGGCGGCGGCGGCGGCGGTGGCGGCGGCGGCCGGCAAGGAGGAGGCACAGAGTCCCGGAGCGGGCCCTGCGCATCGCTCCGGTCCCGAAAAGTGGAGCTGCAATTTGGCCACGACTGCACCTGTTTGCACCGCTCTTCCGAGGGCAACCCAGTTGGGGCGGCGGCGAGGACCGCGACCCCAGCCATCACTCTCTTTGGCAAGTGGCTCGCGCACGAAAAGAAACTTTCCACCTGTGAGCCGGACCGGCGCTGAGTGCGTGTATTTTGCCTCCTTTTTGTTGTTTTTGCCTCCACCCCCCGCCTTCTTTTCTCTGCTAAGACCTCTCCTTACACACCCACCCCAAAGTTTAGCTCTGTTTTGAGTCCCTCTCCATCTCCCTGCCTCCCTCTCCCCGGCCGTCTATGTTCCAGGCCCTCTCTGCGCGGTGCCGGTGAACCCGTGAGCCGCCCTAATGTACAGCATGATGATGGAGACCGACCTGCACTCGCCTGGCGGCGCCCAGGCCCCCACGAACTTGTCAGGCCCGGCCGGGGTGGGCGGCGGTGGGGGTGGCGGCGGCGGCGGCGGTGGCGGCGCTAAGGCCAACCAGGACCGGGTCAAGCGGCCCATGAACGCCTTCATGGTGTGGTCCCGCGGGCAGCGGCGCAAGATGGCCCAGGAGAACCCCAAGATGCACAACTCGGAGATAAGCAAGCGCCTGGGCGCCGAGTGGAAGGTCATGTCCGAGGCCGAGAAGCGGCCGTTCATCGACGAGGCCAAGCGGCTGCGCGCGCTACACATGAAAGAGCACCCGGATTACAAGTACCGGCCACGCCGCAAGACTAAGACACTACTCAAGAAGGACAAGTACTCGCTGGCCGGTGGACTGCTGGCAGCCGGCGCTGGCGCTGGCGGCGCGGCCGTGGCCATGGGCGTGGGCGTGGGCGCTGCGGCCGTGGGCCAGCGCCTCGAGAGTCCCGGAGGTGCGGCGGGAGGCGGCTACGCGCACGTCAACGGCTGGGCCAACGGCGCCTACCCCGGCTCGGTGGCAGCCGCAGCCGCGGCCGCAGCCATGATGCAGGAGGCGCAGCTGGCCTACGGGCAGCACCCGGGCGCGGGCAGCGCGCACCCGCACGCGCATCCAGCGCATCCTCACCCGCACCACCCGCACGCGCATCCGCACAACCCGCAGCCCATGCACCGCTACGACATGGGCGCGCTGCAGTACAGCCCCATCTCCAACTCACAGGGCTACATGAGCGCCTCGCCCTCGGGCTACGGCGGCCTCCCCTACGGCGCCGCGGCCGCTGCAGCCGCAGCGGGCGGCGCGCACCAGAACTCGGCCGTGGCGGCTGCGGCGGCCGCGGCGGCCGCATCGTCGGGCGCCCTGGGCGCGCTCGGCTCTCTTGTCAAGTCGGAGCCTAGCGGCAGCCCGCCAGCCCCAGCGCATTCGCGGGCACCGTGTCCCGGGGACCTGCGCGAGATGATCAGCATGTACTTGCCGGCCGGTGAGGGCGGCGACCCGGCGGCTGCAGCAGCCGCCGCGGCGCAGAGCCGACTGCACTCGCTGCCACAGCACTACCAGGGCGCGGGCGCGGGCGTCAACGGCACGGTTCCCCTGACGCACATCTAGGGACTCTGGGGGAAAGGCGGCCCGCGCCGGCGCCGAAAGAACTGGAGCAGGTGGCCCGCCCGGGGCACCCGGCCTCGCCCAGCACGGCCTTGCTTTTGTATAGACGTTTCCACACTCTTGTAAAAAGGAAAACACTGGTGACGAACACTAGGTGACACATACCCCCTGCCCCCGATTCGCTTTCCTGGGAGTTTCTGGCGACCTCTAGAAGTGGACACAGTCGTGCGTTTTAGACTGAACTTCGACGTTTTCTTGAGACTTTTTGTACAGTATTTATCACCCACAGAGACAGAAAGCCTTTCTTTGCTCGAGAGGACACAAAGACCAAGCAAGAGGCGACTCCAACTTTCCTATTCCACGGCGCGCTCACTCTCATCCCGCATCGCTTCCTGATGGCGTTTAGTTGCCGGGGACCCAGTGCCGGAAGCTGTTCTCATTTGTTATCGATGTAGTAAGGCAGATCCAAACACAAGTTTTTTTGTAGTTGTTACCGTTTGCAGGGTGGGGGGGTTGTTAATTTATACAAAGAATGCCCCCATCCCTTTCTGACGGCAGCGTTATATTCTGGGTTTTGTAAAACTTTTCTGTATCTGAGCTTTTCCATTTTTCTTGTTTTGTAATTATTTCTTGTAAATGCTTTGTGAAATTTTTATTTTAGGCGTTTCGGCGTGGGGAAGCGTATTAAGATTATGTATATAGTTTCCTAAAAAGTCTGTCTTTTTCATGTAGAAACACGGAAAAGATGCCCCCCTTTCAAACTGCATCGAGTTTTGACTTAATAAATTCAAGAGAGAAAAAACTCGTTTTCCCCATAAATTTGAAACGTGCTAATTTTATATGCATGTTTTATGAGCTCAAAATACAATTAGTAAATCTGACGAAGGAGAAATTATCAGCATGCACTAAAAATGAGGGGACCCCAGGGGGGAGAGTACCATTTTCACGGGGCTTCATTCATTGGGAGATAAGGAAGTTAAAATCAATAGATTATTTTGTAGAGTTCACAGTATTAAAACAGAATAGGAAATAATTACCAAAAACCCCATTTTATATTCTGGCCCTTTGGTGTGTTTTTATTTCTGGCTGGCCCGGCGAGTGTTTTGATTCCTTGCTGTGGGCTTTGCATCCTCTCGCTGGCCCCTGTCTGTGTTGCCAGGAGAGAAGACCCCAATGGCGGGACCAGGCCAAGGTTGGATGACAAAAGACCATGGCAGGGGCACCAGTGACCCCTATTCCCCTGCAACTAAAAAGATTACAGGTGAAATTTAGATTTGGCTCTAGGAAACACAATCTCTGAACCAAACTGTACGGCAACTGAGCCCCCTCAGTCCCTCTTTAGCCCCTTCCTCTGGCTTATTTCTTCTTGGGAAACAGCAAAATAATTTTGTTGGATTTTCTCTCTCTCTCTCTCTCTCTCTCACACACACACACACACACACACACACACACAATTGGCCAACTCCCCCAACCTCGCCTTGAACTGGGATGCAAGTTGCTAACCTGTGTGAACACAAAATGATGTGTTTATTATTCCTGATGAGATCTGAGGTTGTTTGATGCTTTAAATTTTTTAATTATATTTTTTCTAGGTGTTTATTGGTACATTGCAGGGTTTTTTCTGGAATTTAAAGTTTTCTGTAAAACTTTGTCTTCAAGTAATCTGACAGCATTAAATATTGCATTTAAAAGTTATACTGTAGCAAATACATTTTGAAATTAGTCACAACATAAAAGTGAAAAGAGAAACCTTTAGCCTAGATCAAAATATGTTGATTTCATCAACCCCCTCATTATCTCAACATCTTTTCTTGCTCTGGAATGAGTGTAGACTATCCATTCAAAAATAGGCCCATGGTGGTGGGTTAATGAGAACCAAACGGAGCCTGCGTTCAAGCATCGTTTTAAGTAAAATGCTAACCTAACAATTGGCATGTGTAAGTTTTTGGAGTCATTCTGATATTTTTGCTTAAACCACATATTTCCTTAAAGTGATTGCAAATTTTTCAACGAAGATGTTGACTGTTTCTTCCAAACAAGATAATAAAGCCCCCTGCTCCCCGCTTTCTGCTTTAGCAATCTGATCCTTTGTGAAACAGTGTTTCCTGAAACTGTTTGGATGTATATGGGTTGCTAAAGCGGAACAGCCACGAGATAGTTTGGGAATAAATGTCACACACAGTCCCCTGTGGGAGAGATGCTTTGGGAGTTCCTGTAATGCTCTGTTAACTCACCAGCCTTTTGAAGGGTCAGACCACATTTACTCTGAAATATGCAGAGTTAAATGGACCATCTCTAGCCTTTTTCTAACTCCCAGCTTCAACCTCTCCCTGCACTTAACTACAGTGGCAGGCAGATATGTGTCCATCTCACAGTAAGTGTAAGCCCAAGTTTGTATGCATTCTTGAGTATTGGCATCTAAGTCTACCTTATCACACATATGAGTAATGTGGGCCACACTTGAAATGTTTTAGAGAGAAAAAGTTTAGGAGTATGCTAGGGTCGCCAGGCAGAGCTGCCCACTGATTTCCCAGAAGGACTTAGAGTTTGGCATTTTTCCGTAAGTGCCTCATACATAGTCAGCTGAAATAGTCAATGCAGGTGCCCCAAGTTACTTTACTAAAAACCCAGGGAGGTCTTAAAATAATAATTCCTGAAATCCAGCGAATTTGTTTTGTTGGTTAGATGGACAAGGATAAAAACAAATTCTTTAATGACTCCATTTTAAAACAATATGGGGTGGGGGGAGGTGAGATTAGCTAGGATTACTCTCTAGGGGGATGAGATCCTATCACTCCACCAGTGTTTCTCCAATTTAAATTCGTGGATTTATTCCACCAGAGAACTGAGCTGTGAATTCAGTTATTGCCAAGTCCCTCCACATCGTATTCACGAAGTGAAATATTATATGATGCTAATTATTATATGATGGCTTCTGTCACTTCCCAAACCACGGGGTGGCATTTCTGTGGCTTGTTTAGATTTTGTCTGAAAACGTGTGGAGAATGCACCCAGGGCTATTTGGGGGCCTTGTGCAAAGTTTGCATAACTTCCTGCGGGAACGACTGCGGGAACTGCGCGCGCAGCTCACTTCTCTCGGCTGTGGGTAGCAGGATTTTGCTTGAGGGTTTTTTCTCCTGTGTCTCTACCCACCGCCAACCTCGCCTTAAAAACAAAAAAAACAAAAAACTCTTTGGCCTCTGTCGTTACTGTTGCTGTTGAGTTTGAACCACCCCCCACCCACTACCCCCTACCAAAGACACCCACCAGTGGTTAGGTGAAATGAATTAATTTTAACACCAGCAGCAGGTACTGCGTGCCTGCTCTGCAGATGCGTGTCGGTAGCGTGACTGATAGGTCTATTAAAATCATGCATGTGGGAGAAGAATAGCACGCATATTCACGCATTTCATTTTCCCGACAAAGACTGGGCAACGCAGATTTCTGCCTCTGGAAAATTCTGGTTAATTCCAGAAGCCCATCTCCGGCAGCGGCCTTGGAAGGCGCGCTCCAGGACGGCCTGGGCCCCTGCACCGGCCGCAGTCTCCCGTGGACCCTAGCGCTCCCACCCCCGCTCCTGCAGCCTGGCTGGCTGGGCAGAGGCTCCAGATACATCGGTAGCAGAATGTAATAATAGGTTCGATTCCTTGGAAACTTCAAGTGAAACGCAGACTTGGCCTTGGCGCAGCGCTTTCTCCTGCGTGACTATTTGGCGGGATTGAAAGGCCTGGCCAGAAAGGGAGGGGCGGGATCCCTGGGGCGAGGAGCCCAAGGAGGTGGGCCCTGGTTCCCGCCGCCCCCCAAGTCCTGAAGGGTCAGAGGGCGAGAAGGCCCCGCGAGGGCGGGCGGGTGCACGCGCAGGGAGCCGGGCTCCGCAAGCCGGCGAGCAGGGACCTTTATCTTCGCCCTCAGCTCCGGGCCCTCGGCCCCTGTTCCCCAGCCCGACCTTGCCTCCCTTCCTGCTCCTCCTTCTCCTCCCTCTCTCCCTCCATCCTCCCGGCCCTTCTTCTCCAGCTGCGCACCCGCCTGGCCCCCGCTTCGTCCGCCCCCGGGAACCCAACAGACTTGAAGGCGGGAGGCGTCCTGCGCCCAAGATCCGTCCTGGGTCTCGTCCCAGCGGGGGCAGCCGCCATCCTCCTTCCCCCCAGCCCCACCCACTCCCGGCTTCTCAACTGCGCCCTTCTCTGGCACTGTTCACAGTTAATCCCGGAACAGTGGGCGATTTCCTGCCCTTCGCTTCTCATCCCGCTCAGTTATTTTACTTTCCACGTTCCTGGCTTCCCCTTCCAGTCGTGTTATCCAGTCACCTCTCCTTTATTTCCTTCTCCTCTCCCTTCCTCCCGTCAGTGACTCCCGCATCTTTCTTTCCCCTTCTCTGCGGTTCCAGTCTTCCCTTTGTCCCTACTCGCCGCCTCCAGTCTCCCCCAACGTCTGAGACCCGGCCCCTGGTGGTCCCCGCGGAAGCCCTAGGGGCACTCCCTCTGAGTTTCGGGTCAGGGTCCGCAGGTACCAGGGAGCTGTCGGTCACCAACCTTCCCTCGGCTGCGTCCCCAGGAGCTCCGCGCGGGAGGGACCTGGGGTTCCCCGGGCACCTTTTTGGAGCCTGCGGCCCAGGCGTCCACCCCCAACTCGCTTGGGTGCAGCCTGGACGCAGAGGCCGGGCGGGGTGTCAGCCTCGGGGGGATTAAGATGACTGATGCGAGGGAAGAGGGCGAAGTGTTTTTGTGTTTAAAGAGGGCAGGATTAGTAGAGAGAAAGTCCTGACCCGGGGTCAGCTGCGAGTCAAACCCTTTCACAATCAGCCAGCGGAACAAGCCAGTCTCCTGGTCGGGCTGCAACAAGTGGGAGAGAGGAGGGGGCGGGGAGGCTGGGCTGTCCAGGCTGCAGAGCGGATGGAGGGGCGCGGGGATGGTGGAGAGGGCACCCCAGGGCTGGGAAGAGCGAGGGCGAGGGAGAGATGGGAAGACCCGCGCCCCGGGGCTAAGCAAGTGGGGGGCGGCGAGGAGAGGGACAGAGCCGGGGCCCCGGCCAAGCCTGCCTGCACTCTAGGGGCCAGCGCGGGGGCGGGGGGGTGGGGGCGCGGCGGTGAGAATCCGCGCGGAGCGGCCTCGGAGCTGTACAGGGCGGGAAGAGTTGTCCATCAGAATTCCTTTTACTCGAGTGCCTCCGTCTCCCGTTTCCTGGGCCGTCTTCCGGCGGCTCCTCCGAGGGAGCCTGGGGAGACTGTGGGCTTTCTGCAGTGATGCTGTCTTGTCCAAAGCAATCTTATTTCCCTGAGAAGCCAAAACTAAAGGACTAGGTCCCTGGTCGCTCTGCGATTTGCGTTTTCACTGGGCTCTCCGGGAACCCTTGCCTTACTTGGGTTTCTGCAGACTGGGTCCTGTGTGGGACAGTGCGGGGTGGGCGTGAAATACACACACTAAGGCTGTCTCCAGACTTCAGTCTCTGTCGGGGGCGAGGGATGGAGCACTAGCCTGGTTTTTAAAGCATGGCGTGGTTCATCAGGGGCTCATCTGAAAAGTGATAGAAACTGGAGTTTGTGGTGAAGGCTGTGGGGAGTGGTCAGGGAAGAGGGAGGGAAAGCAGATACCTGTGTCTTCCCTTAGTAGTCAGGTTGGGAATTTGTGCTGAAATAATGCCATCGAGGGTTTTAACAAATATGAAAAACAGATAAAGAACCCAAACAATTGATATATCCAAAGATAGAAAAAGATAATTTATTTTAATAATAAAAAGACAAGATTGCCACATTTTCCTCTAAATTGGCTTTTTATATATAAAACCAACCAACATGGGGGTGGGAGAGAAAGAGAGAGAAATGTTTTAAACACAAAACAAACAGCTCCAAGTGAACGGACACATCCGCACAGCCTGCCCCGGTAACACCGGCCCTCTGTGGTGGTAAATGCGTTCTGGGTTCCAAAGCAAGTAACAGATTGCTACTCCGTAAGTTGCTAAAAGTAGCCTATGAGGAAAATTTGTCTGTGGCAGAAACTCTGGACATTGTGAGTAATTCTGAATGCCCCGCAGGCAGCTCCCAAGGATTTAATTGCCCCAGCCACTTCAGAACAACTATGTGGGTACATTAAGGATGTTGTTTGTGAAGAACAGCAGGTCATCACATGCAAAGCCTGGAAATAGTCAGCCAGTCAAATCAGTGGAAAAAATCAGCTTTTGTTAGATTTTGCAGTTTCAGGAATTAGGCATTCACTGCAGAGCTGCAGTTTTGAGAAATTGCAATGTCAGGCATGTTCCCAGTGGGGAAATATTGTGAGAGTGTGGAGGAATGTAAGATTGGGTTTGACAATGGGGAAACTGACAAGAGTTATCACCCAGACATTGTTTTCTCTCTGAGCACCCCCGAA